GGAAATGGCACTGTGAACATCCCTAACAGCGTCAGGCGGGTGCCCAGAGCCAAGAGGCCTGGTCAGCACTCCCTGCACCCACAATCTGGACTCCCTTGGAAAAGCAACTCAATGAAGAGAGAAGATGTTACATATACACTCAGGGAGGTGGTGGTTTTTTCATGACGATGATAATTTTTTTAATGGTTTTGTTTTTGTTTTTGTTTTTTTAATAATAATGTCAAAGGAAAGCTGTATCTGTTTCAAACCCCACTGAAAGGAACTGAAATGATTTGGGGTAGCAAAGCATTAGCTTGGCTTTACGTTAGCTGGCCCATTCAAGCAGAAACATCCCCCAAGCAGCATCTGAAGGAGCCCCCTCCCTGCACAGACATAGGCTATTTAGGACGCATCATTGCCCCAGTCCACAGGTTTACAGATCTCTGGTCTAGCTTCAGCCAGCTCAGAGTTCCCTCGGCCTCCTAACAGCAGCAAGAGGAGAGCAAGCCATTCAACCTCTTCCACCTCCGTACCCCACTTTTTTGCACTCATTCCAAACCCGAGGTTCCTGAGACACATCCAAGGCACCTTGCACTGCCTGTGAAACACCAGAGGGCCCCCATACCCCAATCAGATTCCAGAGAGATTCAGAGAGAGGTCTTGCAAACCTCTGAAAATAACACCAGCTATAACCTGCTGAAAACGGGCTTCCCTACTGGCAGCTGCCTCTCAGAGAAGCTCTGAAGGAAGCAGTTTCCACTCCCTGCTGGGGACAGGAGCTGGCGGCTGCTATTCCCAAGCTGGTTAATTCCTACAGTCTCTGAGGGCCGTTATCAGTTGTAAAAAAACACCCCAGTCCCAAACTCAGGCCCCATCTGGCTTTGTGAATGAATTCACTGCAGCTATCACTTATTGGACGCCAGCTGTATGCCAGAGACCGTGCTTCACAAGCATTATCTCATTTCATCCCCACTACGGCCCTAGCAGGCAGGTTCACTCCCATTTAAGTAATTAGGCAAATGAGGCTCAGAAAATGAAATGACTTGGCCAAGGTCACACAATAAGTACAAACCCAGATCGGCTGACAGACACTGGGCTGGGGACCACTGCGCGGTAACTGCCTCGCGGTGGGGTCGGGTGGCCTCCTACTTGGTTAGTCGCCGAAGAGGGGGTGTTCCTCCTGAGCTGCCCTGAGCCACCCATGGCCGGTCCCAGGAATCTGCGAGGCAGTCTCCGGGGGAGTGGGGATCCTGAGGACAAGCTGGGCCCTCGGGACGCAGAAAAGGCGGGCCCGCCTGCCGCCCCCGCCGGCCGCGAAGGGACCCCGCTCTCGGGTTGGCCGAGCCCCGCCGAATCGGGCGCCCCCCTCTGCCCTGGGAAGCGCCGGAGGCCGTTTCCGCTCGCGGCCGCCCCGCACTCACCCGGCACTGCCGCCAAGGACGCCCCGGCCGAGGGTATCCAGAAGGAGCCGCGGCCGCCGCCGGAGCCGGCCCCCGCTGGGCTCTCGCCGCTCCGGCCGGCTGCAAGGGGCCGAAGCCAGTACCCCGACACCAGCGGCGACCCGGAAACACTAGGCCAGGAAGTGACGCCTCTCGGAGGCGGGTCCAAAGGGAGGCTGGGCCGCGGCTGCGCGTCGTACCGGAGCGAGGCCGATGGCCGCGGGCGACGGAGGGAGAAGCGGGAGGTAGAAGAACGAGCGGAGGAGTCGCGGAATCCGGCTCTGGGGCTTGCAGGGCCGCCGCCTCGGCTCGGACTAGCCCCGGAAACAAACGAGCCGGACGTGACGCACGCCAGCCCCGGGATGGTGGCTGGCCGGGTTGTCATGGGAACCGGTGTGGAGCGGGGCGGTGGAGGCTAGGAGCTGCGAGCGCGGACTGAGTGATCCCCGGCCTCCGCCTCCCGGACTCGTCCCTTGTCCAGATGATCTGCGAGCAGCTCTCCCGACTGAGCCTGAGCAGGAGCTGACAGCTGGAGTCCTCACCCCATTTTACAGACACAAATACCGAGGCTTAAAGAGAGCAAGTGAGGTGCCAGGATCACGCGAGATGGAATCCGGCCTTGAGAGGACTGTCTTTAAGAACGGGGCTCCCAGCTTTGCCTTTGCCACTTACTAGGGGCGTGACCTTGGGCAAGTTACCTCGCCTATACGAGCCTCAGCTTTTTCACTTGACTTTCATATTGCCTCCTTGCTTTGCGACTTTTCAGCAAACACCTTAGTACCAGCATGGTCTACACTGGCTTCAATCATGGTGTGGCTTGGACTTGTCTATACTCCCACCAAACATATTGACCGTGAGCTCACCGAGGACTCAGTTTTTGTGGTTCACCATTCCACTGAATCCTTAGTGATTGTCTAACACGTATCCAAGACTTTGTCAGACATATTTGCGATTGGACCATGATTCTGTCTCTCAAACTTAACCCCAGACATTTATTGAAGTCTCGGAGCCCACTCCATGCCCTGTTCTCTTCCTCCATCATGCTCTTCTACCCTTCTGGCCTCTGTGCCTCTATATGCTGTTCCCTCAGTGTAAATGTTTTTCCCCCCTCACCTCTTTCCTTCCCAAGATAGATAAGTAGATAGATAGATAGATACATAGATAGATAGATAGAATCACTTTAAACCTGACACCCCCACAAAACCTGGAGCTCCTTACTCATCTGTGTTTCCCCTGAGCTCTGCATGTGTCTGATCTGGATGTGCCCAACAGATGTTCCTTGATTGCAGGATTCTCTCTCTCAGTCTTAGTGTCGCCAGCTAAAGCCACTGGGTCTTGTCTCAGAGGAGCCAATGACAAAATACACAGGGAAACATTTGGAGAACCAGCAACCCGCTATTCAAACAGCAGTGATGACTATATCTGTTGCTATCTGAACACCACTCAAGGTCTTTGTGTACTTCAACCTTTATCAGCTCAGGTTTAGGCTCCTCTCTTAATTGCAAAGTGATAGTGAGAAAAACTGTCCCACAGAACTCTCTGCCTTTGCAACAACTCAAAACTTTCCTTTGGAAACTGTTACAAGACTGCACAATGGTGGCTAAGAAGTCCCTTACAGCTCTGTGGTTCTGGGGCTGCCAAAAGGGAAACAGATTTTTAAGGAGGCTTTACTAGTAGGAAACCCTGGTCATTGAGATGCAGTGACATTTTATATCAGAAAGGACCCAAAGTCTCCCCAAGGGAGTCATGTTTCTCATCTTTTAGACAGGGTTGAAGGCCTGAGACTTCTCTGCTTGGTGATGTGGAATGATAGAAGCATCCTTTTCAGATTTCATTACATAACGATTAGCAGATTATATAATAGACATGTGACAATGATTAGGCACCTCTACTTCCTCAGAGCCAACAACACGAAAAATCTACCTACTTCTTTCTATTTTTTACTTTTTTATCACAAAACAATAATGCATGAATTTCGATGATACAGATGTGTTCAGAACAGAAAAGGAAAGCAACCCTATGACCCAGCAATTTGATTTATTGGAATCTACCAGAGAACCAAGCAGAAGTACACAGACCTGTTGCATCCTTGTTTGTATTGCAAAAGCAAAAACCAAAAACATGCTAAATGCCCATCAATAGGGAAATGAAGTATCCGTCCTAATGAATACTATGTATCACTTAAAAAAGATCATGTAGGGGCACCTGGGTGGCGCAGTCGGTTAAGCGTCCGACTTCAGCCAGGTCACGATCTCACGGTCTGTGAGTTCGAGCCCCGCGTCGGGCTCTGGGCTGATGGCTCGGAGCCTGGAGCCTGTTTCCGATTCTGTGTCTCCCTCTCTCTCTGCCCCTCCCCCGTTCATGCTCTGTCTCTCTCTGTCCCAAAAATAAATAAAAAACGCTGAAAAAAAAAAATTAAAAAAAAAAAAAAAGATCATGTAAACCTACCTTACTCTGCAGTACATTTTGGGGAATGAAAAAAGAAAGACATCCCCCGAAATGGAATACAAGACATCAACCAATATTATATATGTTCTAAAGGTATGTGTATATGTATAAAGTCAACAGGAGACAATAATGCAACTATCAATCATTTGTTTTTTAAATCATTCTACAAATACATATTATATGATTTTTATTAATATCTCCCCCCCAAAAAAAGTAAGCTCCATGAGGACGTAACTATACCTATTTTTCTCACAATTATATCAACAGTATCCCCCATACATA